TAGATCTATTATCACAGGATTTTGTTATCAAGACAGAACATTTACCACCTATTAAGATGTCTGAATTATCACCTATTGAAATGACTGAATTATCAACCAACTACTTGCACTGTCCTTTTGTCTAAATGTTCATTTTGCATATCTTCTGAGAGATACATTGGTCCAGTATCTTCATCCTATTCCATCCATTTCATCCCATCAAATCCATAACAGTAAAAATTCACTAATCAACAACAAAAGCACTTAACAATCCACAGAAGTAATTTAAAAAGGAAAGGAAAACCACAACCAAAACAAAACAGAGACCAGCAGAAGCACAAATTATTCATTTGTTCAATTTTGCTGGGAGAATATTATCTTCACCTTAGAGGCAGATAAAAGAATATTGCCTTCACTTGATGCTTTAAAAGAAATTATAATTGGCACCAGTGAGTAGCCTGGAAAGATAGACTCAGTTCATTAGGCAGTGGCTGCTTTGTTTGCTTGTTTTTTATAAACATCTGAAAAATGACTGGGCCTGTTCAGCATGAGTGTTTAGTGTCATATATCTCTTCTCTATAAGGCATGAAAAGCAACAGGTTGTTGTAAGAAAGAACATTTAAAAATGGACTAGTGTTTCAACAGATTCTCAGATTCATTACACAAAATCACAGACAATCAATTGGTAGTACAATATTGTTGTAAGAAAATACAAAAAGTAACTATTTTATTTTAAAATATTCTCAAACTGTACAAGTAGTACTCAGTTTATAACCACTCATTTAACAATCATTCAAAATTATGAAAGATTTGAAAAAAGTTATTTACAACCTATCCTCAAATTATGGCAACTATACCATCCCTGTGTCACATGGTTGTGTTTCACAACCAGCTCACATTGCAACCAGTTGCAGTGTCCCAAAGTCATGTGACACATTCTGCAACTTTTTTTGTTGCTTTCCAGCAAAAGCACCCATTGGATAAGTAGGATTTAGATTTATAACCTCATGATTTGTTTAACAACCGTTATAAGAACAGTCATAAACAGAATCAGGTCATATAGTAACTTCATACATAAAATTTTGCGTTCAATTTGTAGTTGTAAATTGAAGACTTCCTGTATCACAACATTGTGGTTACTGTTGAATTAAATCTACATCCTCTCTTTTAAACTACAATTCACTTTTACATATTTTGGATCAAAAGTTGTACTTTTTGTATAATGGAAGGAATTTGTATTTAAAGTAAGGAACAACTGCTAATATTGCCTGAACTCTTAGAACACAAAGTTTTGTGATTTATTGAGAAAACATTGTCAACTCAATGTTGGTGCTGTCCTTGGTATTAGGAGAAAGGAAGACCCTGCAATGGTCCAGTAAACTTTAGTTGCTCCATTGTTATCATTGCGGTAGTAAGAACATAATATTCTGTTTCATTTTTCCCCCCGGAGATTTTATACAGCTATCTAAATAGATTTAACATTTAGTTATAGTCATAGAATCTTGTGGGACTTTCAAATACAAACGGATCATCATTTGGAGCACAACACATCATGGTTGTAGAGGGCCGAAGTGTACAGTTTATTGATATTGCTGTTCCTGGAGATGCCAGAGTCGAAGAAAAAGAATTAGAAAAAATAATGAAATATCGCGATCTGGCCATCGAAACTACATGGCTATGGATGAAGCATGTAACAGTGATACCCATTGTCATCGGGGCATTTGGCACCATGTCCAAGAATTTTATAAGATACATCAACAAATTGCAGCTTCCTGCAATAACACCAGCAGCACTACAAAAAAAACTGCTACTAGGAACATCTTATATTTTAAGAAAATACTTGGTTGATACCTAGGATGCTGGCAGCAAACCGTATCAACCATTAACACCAGTCACTGGTATTTATAATGCATTTTTGAATGTTCTGTTGGCTGAGTTTCATGTTTAATGAATAAAGATGATGATGATGATGATGATGATGATGATGATGATGATAATAATAATAATAATAATAATAATAATAATAATAATAATAATAATAATAATAATAATAATAATAATAATAATAATAATAAATTGCGGCACAATTCANCACTGGTGAGGCCCCGCCTCCCCTGCGTCCCCTGACTGCATGTCCCTGGTATAAATATGATTATGAATATATGAAATGGATGCAAATACAAGGGAATATTAGAACAAGGATGGCAGGTACTCTGGTGCGCTTATGCATGCCCCTTAAAGACCTCTTAGGAATGGAGTGAAGTCAACAGTAGACAGTCTAAGATTAAAATTTTGGGAGTTTGGGTTAGAAACCACATTGTGAGTTAGTGCATTCCAGGCATTGACAATTCTGTTACTGGAGTCCTATTTTCTGCAATCAAGTTTGGAGCGATTTACCGTAAGTTTGTATCTATTGTGAGCTTGTGTGTTGTTGTAGTTGAAGCTGAAGTATTCATTGACAGGTAGGACATTGTAGCACATAATTGTATGCACTATGCTTAGGTTGTATCAGAGACAGCAAAGTTTTAAATTGTAATCAAATTCTAATTAAAATGAACATATAAATATGTATATTTATATGTTCATTTTCCACGGTATTTTAAATCTTTTTGTATTTCTCCTCATATATAAAATGTTTATTCTGTTTCTGGCTTGTCCAGCAATTATTATGTGATATGTTTATCTTGACAATTATTGATAGAGTTATATACCATCTATAATACTAGTTTTTACATCATTTCTCTTAAGTTATAGTTTGTTAAGAATTTTATAGCTTTTTGTCCATAATTCTTCCTATTGTTATTCTGTGATTGTTTTTCATCCATTTTGTCATAAAGTTTTTTTATTGGTTCTGTGTTGTATATGAGTAAGAGTTTATATATGTGCCCTAACAAATTGCGTTGTTTTTATGAGTGCTTCAAATGCTGCCTTTTTTCTCAATATCCTTTCTTTACTTTTAAGTAGAGATTTTATCCTTCCAGCAGTTTGTAAGTACATCAACCATGATATATTTTAGCCTTGGCTGAGTAATTCTTGCTGTCTTTAATTTATTTGTGGAGACTGAATGTATCTTATATGTATATGTAATTACATTTTTAGTATTATAAGTGTCTCTAACATGGAAAGCATTTGAAAGAGAAGCTAGAGATGAAATTGTTGGGTTTATTATTCCATTTCTAAAATTCCATAGCTTTATCAAGCTTTGTCAAATAACATGTTCTTTTACATTTTTAAAAAATTGTGCTCATCTAGCATAAACATATTTGAATTTCATTGGCTAAAATGTCTTCTTCGAGTGGATATTTTGCTCTTCAGGATTTTTATCCACTTCAATATCCATGACAAACAACTTGCTTTGTGATACCATTTTAACTTTAGGAGAGCTATATCACTACTATATTTATTTCAGAATTTTTCTCATTGGGTTATCACTGTTTCTTTTTCATTTTTTGTTATATTTTTTATTTATTCTTTTTCCACTTATATAGGTGTCTTAGTAGATGGTTGTGATTTTGTATTAGCATTTCAAATGGTCATGTGTTATAAAAACCTTCTCTCATTTTTGAGTTATTATGTTCTTATTCTTTAGCAATTTGTAACTATACCAACCATGATATTTTACAACCTTTAGCAAATAGCTCTTATGACTTTGGTTTACTCATGATACAATTACATCTGATATAATTGTAATTTATAAAGTCACTGCATATGTAATTGTAGTTATCTTACTATAATGATCTCCTGCAAGGCAGCATTTAAAGAATAGGCTAGGAATGAGATTGTTGGACTTATTATTTTTCTGCCAATAGACCATAATTTTGTCAAGCTTTGTCTTATAATATCTTCTTTTAATTTTTTACCCATTTTTGTTTCACTGTATCATAAGTATCTATGAAGTCCACTAATTAGACTGCCTCTTAATATTTTGTATTATTTTATCAATTCTTTTAATCATGATAAACAGCTTACTTTGCAATGTACTGCAGTTTGATGTTTAGAAAGTGAGATCATCTCTGTAAAAACACTATAATTTTTCTGTCAGGTGTTTCATTATATTTTGATCTGCTTTATCTTCCTAAATGCTGTTTTCTTCACTACACATTTAAATCACAGAATTAATTTAACTTCTCCCCTTTCCCATTTAACCAGAAATTTTGATTAGATTCATTTATTCCTGATGCTGGCTACATTGTTGGTATCATAATGCAAATTCTTAAAACATAATGAATTTTACAAATTGCAATATACTGGTAACTGGTTTTGAGAATCTATAAAGTTCGCTCGCTCTATCATCTATCTATCTATCTATCTATCTATCTATCTATCTATCTATCTATCTATCTATCATCTATCTATCCATCCATCCATCCATCNAGTTATGGGGGTTTGAGAATGTTACAACAGAGTCGGGTAGTGTATTCCAGGCATTGATCACTCTGTTACTGAAGTCGTATTTTCTGCAATCGAGTTTGAAGCGGTTTACCTTGAGTTTGTATCTATCGTTTGCTCATGTATTATTGTGGTTGAAGCTGAAGTAGGCATTGACAGGTAGGACGTTGTAGCAGATAATTTTGTGTATTACACTTAGGTCAGACCTTAGTCGGCATAGCTCCAGGTTGTCCAAGCCCAAAATTTCAAGACTAGTGGCATAAGGGATTCTATTGCGAGCAGAGGAGTGGAGTACTCTTCTCGTGAAATACTTCTGGACTCGCTCAATTGTATTAATGTTCAATATCTTCTTGGCAATCTCTTCAGAAGTACTTTTTCCTTGCCTCCTTCTATCTAGAGCAGAGAGAGTGACTTACCCAAAGCTCGTGTGCCCATAGGTGCGAACTGGTAGGAACCCACCCCTTTGGGGTAGACTTGAGTCTCTTGGGGCAACACAATGACTCCAAACTTAATGAATTTTTTTAACTCCACCTTGCAGCTCAGCCTTCTCTTCTACAAAGTTTTGACCGCCAGATATTTTTTTCTATTAACGATCCTGGTTTGTTCTTACCATGCTGTCTTTGTCATTATAGGCCTTCAGGTGGTGTTAAATTCCATTATCAAGGCCATGGTCCCGTTGCTGCACATCGCCCTGCTGGTGCTGTTTGTCATAATTATCTATGCCATCATTGGGTTGGAGCTCTTCATGGGAAAGATGCACAAAACATGCTACTTAACAGGGATTGCCACAGGTAAGTAATGTACTGAAGTGACCTCCATTTTGGCGTAGCCCTTAATGGCTGTGGAAGATGGATGTGATGTGTAACAATGCTGTGCAAATGTGATAGTCAACTAACACTTAAACTTTTCTTACTCTGGTTTGACCTGTTTGAATTCAGGGAGAAATTTCTTAGACAGAAGGGATCCCCAAATGCCCATAATTTTAACCTAAGACTGTCTACTGTTGGCCTCACCCCATTCTTAAGAGATCTGTAAGGGGCATTCATAAGCGCACCAGCGTGCCTACCCTCCCTGTCCTACTTGAGAGACAGCCTGCTGCCAATTACCTCCCATAGACCTGTTAGATCGCACTGGGTCGGCCTCCTCCGGGTTCCGTCTACCAGCCAA